ATTTTTTAGTGTTTGAATAGGAAGAAAAAAGGGAAAAAATGAATTACACAGCACAGATAATTCTAAATAAAACGGGGGTGAAAATTGCCTTAAATTGTTAAACAACCACAAACACTGCTACTTTCAGCAGGAAAGTTCCAAAATCGTCAATTTAAGCAAATAAAAAGGAGAAAAGAATAGCAACTGTCATGATACGCTAAATTTTGGGGCTGCATGCTTCCACCACAAGCCGCTCATGTAAGCGGTATCAAGATTATACCAAATTGCTCCTTCCCTTTCCTAATTCTTAATTCGTGGCCTTCTTTCCTCTTCTATCTGTCAACTTTGCTCTTACAAAATGCACACAATTGAGAAGAATTAATCTTGGCCATAATTTTTTACTTCCCCACCAATAACAAAATCCAAAATCCTTCGCATTCCACTCTTCACAAAACTTCAAGTGTTATCTTACTATTATACTAATACTAATTCCTCAATATTATTTTCTCTTTTATTCTTTTTCCTACTTCAAAATACCTTTCTATTAGCCGTAAAAACCATTCACTTGACTAAGTGAAGGACCCCTCAATCAAGGGGTTGCTTGAAAGCAAGCTGATGGCAATTTTGACTTCCTGGCATATGCCGGTACCAATTTACCATCGAAACGGATGAAAAAAAATAAATAGCAACGCGCACCAGACTAGCCGGTGCGATCATGCGCTTTGTGCAATTTAGCCCATCGAATGATTGCCTATTAATGATTTTCACTGCTTTGTACTTTCGTCTATGCAAAAATAGTTCAAACATTGGAAAACAGTTAAAAATTTCACGCAACAACGCATGAAAGCTGAATTCGAAATCTCGAAGGATATCTTTCCATGATTCCCTAGTTAATAGTTTACCCGCCAAAATTTCCACAAGGCTGTAGGTGGTACCCGAGAGCCCGAGAACGCTGAATTTGAATGGCCAAGGTTGAGCGGGGGCAAGGGGTCATTCCCCTAAAATTTCAGCCTCCTGGACACCATGATCCCCGAGACATTAACTTACCCGTAGAAAACTTCCACGGGGCCGTACGCGTAACCCGCGGGTACGGGGAAGCTGAATTTAAAATTGCGGGGTCACACGTGGGTGGGGAT